TGCTATCACTAGGATTCAAACACACACCTCTCGGTTGATTGTGTACCCGTCTCACCAGCTAGACTAGCCCTTGTTCGCTTACATAATTTACATTATCGATCATGTACTTAATTACTTTTCAATTTGATTATCACAATGTTTACATGTGATGATTTAAGAGTTTAACATTTATTATCTAAGGTATTATTTATGGTAAAGTTTATTATAGCCCCATATGGTATGACTAATTGACTATATTATATTTGAGAACTATAATGAGTTATCTCATCTCAATAGCGTAACTCGAACGGTCTCAAGTGTTGGTTATTTCATATTATAGGTAATATATTTAATTACTTATCAATTTGATTATCGTAATGTTTTCCCATGATGTTTTAGTAGTTTAACATCCAACGACCTTTTTATAACATTATAGGGGATGACTAATTTGATATAGTAGATTTGAGAACATATCATGAGTCATCTTATCTCAATACATCACTCGAACTATCTCAATTGCAGTCTATTTCACATTCTATATAATATATATAATTTCTTACCAATTGGGTTATCACAATATGATGATTTAGTTTAAGATTTAGTACCTAAAGACATTGTCTATAACAAAACCTTATTATAACTCTTTAGGTTATGATTAATTGACAATAGTATTTCTGAGAACCTATCAAGATTTATATTATCTAGAAAATGTCACTCGAACCATATTAAATATTAGACTATTTCACATTATAGATAATATAATTAATCAATAAACCTTATTGTAGCTTTATAGAGCTTAACTAATTCACTATGATAGATTCGAGAACCTGTAACGAGTCATCCCAAATATGATTAATGATGTAATATGTTTATTCCAAGTACAGTATAATTAGAATAGATTCTAGATATATTTATGAACAGATTTCACATATAGTATTCTATTTTCATGTTTCTAAGTTTTAGTCTTTATATTTTGGGCTATTATAATAGGAAGGCCAAACTATTTAAAAAGTCTCATTTGTGTTCTAAACTATTCAATATGAAAAAACTGGCACGAACTATTTTTTTTGTTAATATTGACCAGCGTTGACTGTTAGTATTTAACAGAAAATCTATTCAACATCTATGTGGTTTGTGTCCGATTTGTCATATTGAATAATTTAGAACACAAATGTCACGAAATGCATATAATTTGTGTCAGATTTGTAATATTGAATAGTTTAGAACACAAATAACACTTTTAGAATAGTTAATTAACCCTTATATTTTTACCTTATATGTTCATAAATTTAGATAATGATGGACTAATGGTAAATGGAGGTGGAACACTCCCCAGCCCCCCACCCCACCCAAATATTTTTATTTTAATTAAAAAAATTTGTTAACACAATTTTTTGTTTTATATCAGTGTGATAGCCAATAAATAAGAAGTAACCGATGGGTTGACTTGAACAATTTGCAATTCGACTTGTACATAACCTGAACCCACAACCAGATTGACTCCTACCCAACTATCCGCAACTCGATTAACCCCTACCCAATCGACCCACAACTTGAATGACCCACACCCGACATGTCCATAATCTAAACAACCTTGCTTGATTGACCCACAACTCCATTAATTTGCAACCTGAACTCATAGCCCAACTAAACCGTAACTCAAAGAACTCGAACCCGACTGATTCACAACCTGATAAAACCAAAACCCGACTAATCAATAACCGGATAAAACCAAAAACCAGGCTGATTGACATAAATGGTTGAAACTCAGACTGTGACACTATAGAAAGAAGGGTAGCAAGCTAAGCAGTAGGGATGGTAATGGGTCGGGTCGGGGACGGATAGTGCATATCCGCTACCCTACCCAGAGTAGTTCGGGTTTTACCCATACCCATACCCACATAAGAAATGGGTAGAAAATCTAAACCATGCCCATACCCGTTCGGGTTTCGGGTATCCACGGTTATCCATGGGTAATAGTTTCTCTTTATAACTCCAACCAATATGTTAATATTGACAAGTATTCTACGTTACGTAAGACGAAAAGTACGACAATAATTCGCTAGAATGAAGAAAATTAATTAAAACAACACAATTTCATAAAACTATTCTATGTATATGCTAGATATAAAATATGTAAGAGAAAAATATTGATTATTTCTAGACAAAATACATATGAACGTGTATAATCGGGCGGGTTCAGGTTGGATAGTGAGAAAACCATGCCCACCCATTACCCGCAATATTCGGGTTCGGGTTTTACCCGTACCCACTAAAAGGCCTTCGGGTTCGAATTTTACCCTACCCGATTAGGTCGGATTCGGGCGGATATCACGGTTACGGATATTTTTGCCATCCCTACTAAGCAGACCTACACTTAAAATTCTTTAAAGCTGAGATAAATTTTAGGATCGACCTTGTTCTACTCTCCCTCCAACCTACAGAAGAATTGGGTGAGAAAAATACTGAAATGGAATGGAACTTTATACTAACTAGCTTTTTACCTGGCCCGTTGGCCGGAGAGATTTATTTTATAATTTATATGTTTAAATCATTTTGGATCTTCTAAATATTTTGTAACAGAGTTTGTAGTATATCTATATTGAAATTTCCAATATTTAGCACACTCACTTGTGATGCTTCGGTTTTCGAATCATAAATTATGTCGCTGTCACGTCCCATTTAGAACTTATGTCAAAATTTGTCAACTAAAACACTAATATTTAGCGTACGCCAACCTAAACCACACACACATATATAGTTCAAGCTAGCGTGCGCCAGGAGTACGTTATACTCTTGCGTTCATACTACCATACGACCATTGAGTTTTACTATTTAGACACGAATTAGCCAGATTTTTTTGGGGAATTATACTATATCCTAACCTCTAATAGGTAAACTCTAGTCCCTAATTCTGTAACCTCTAATTTATGCACATACTTCGTAATACCTATATTCTATCGTATCTTGAGTTAAATAAAAAGTATAGTATACCTTGATATTACATATATATATATATATATATGTATGTATATTAGACTTAAAATTATCTAGAGATCTCAGGCAAATACTAAGATCCTACTACTTATTTCTTATCCTCTCCCGCCGACCCCTTTATGGAGAATAAAAAGGTAGGGATGACAGGATCATAGCTCGATATGGTTTTATTATGTTCATCTTATCGGAGGTTATGTTCTTTTTTGCATTTTTTGGCTTCTTTTTCATTATACTTTAGCACCTATGGTTGTGATCAGAGGTACTTAGCTCTCGAAAGGGATTGAGATTTTAGGTCCTTTGGAAATCCAATACACATTTATGATCCTCGAGTTTGGACGAACTCTCGACCAATGTTGTAAAAATTACGACTTTTTAGTAAGAAATTCTTGGTAAAGATACTTCATTATTGGATTTATTCATCCATATTGAAACTTGACACACACTGTATCTCTCATGATGACTAAATTCTCTAATCTCGACTCATTTCCATTTTGGATGTTAGTTTTTTTATCCAGACACTTAAATTTAGTATATTATATAATATGTATCAATTGTTAATTTTTGAAGTTTATACTAAACCTCAACCAGTGGTCATTGTTTATATGTTGACTTAGAATCTCAATCTAAGGCACTCACACACACTATCGAGGATTTTTTGTCTTAACATGGTCGTTGAATGTGTAATTTTCAAAGATTTTATCGCTTATATATTAATAATTGATAAAGAGTGTCTCCAATACACACATATTTTAAGTGCATTTAAAATGTCTTATCATTTGAACAATATCAGTGTATTTCATTTGATTATTTGCATTAACTTATTATCTTATACAACATATATTAATTCGTTTTTCTCGAGTCTAGACGAACTGAAAACCAATTTTGAGAGTTGAGATTATTGGATAAAGATACTTGATTGCTGGATAAATATGTTTATCCCAATTGACGATCTTACTAAAAATTGCCAACCTTTATTTGGTAAATGCCTATGTTAGTAGTTGATGAAACGTGATGTTTATCGTAGATTCTGAACAAAGATTTTTCTAACCTTCACATCTATTATTTTTCAAGGAATCTTGTGTCTCATCTTAGGGTATGAAGTCAAAGTTCGTCAACAATCATACTTAATTCATTTTGAAAATTTTGATTTATAATCGTCGAAGAATACTCCAAGTCTGAAAGAAAATTTCTTAGCATACGACTTAGAACCTCAATAGAGCTTGCTCAATCAACATGATATAGAGCAAATATTATTAATGTGAACTTAGGTCACATTATCAAATTATTGCACATGCGATTCCTCTTCATTTGAGGAATTTAAGGTAGAACATGATCTGCATGAATAAGAATTTTTTTAAATAAATGACTGTAACTACTCGATCAAGATTATACTCTGACATTTTGCTAAATAATGTTTTATTTTATAGATATATATTGTACGAATAAGAGAGTGTTTCATTGCAACAAAATATAAAGTAATATAGTTTATTTTTCAAAGGTAATTGAATGTCAAATGTTTATTTTCTCTCTTTTCATATATATTTTGGTTTAATCAATTAAAAAATAATTGTTTATGTGTATGTTTGTTTATTTTTTCATCAAAATGTAACTTATCTTTGAATTTTAGTAAAAATGAGTAGAAAATTTATTTCATAAGGTTTAATCATATATTTTTTATTTAAATAAATGTGACATATGTCACTCTCTTTTTTCTTATTTATATTTTGTTTATTTAAAAAAATTATTATTTATGTGTGTTTGATTTAGTTTATCAACATGTAACTTATTATTAAAGACAAAAATGAATAAATGGATAAATGAAAAAGAATAATTGGATAAAAGAAATGAAAATATTAAAGAAGAGAGAGGTAACTCCATAAATACATTAATAACTAATTTTTTGTTTGTAAAAAAGTTGTCCAACTTGGCAAATTGTGCATCCTCCAAGTGCTTATGTGACAAGAATTTTTTTTGAATTGCCATAATATATAGTATAGATATAGATAGAAGATAGATAGCAAAAGGAAAGATGGAAAACTTTAATAGTAGCGTGACACTTCTCAATCACTTTCCACTTATAGAAATGACAAGTTACCAAAACATCATATTCATACGACAATTTATCCACCTTCCATCTTGCCATTCCTCTGACCCACACAGAAGAGAAAGCCGCCAGGGGCTTTGCCCAATATTCCATCCCAATAACAATAATACAGCATTAGCGTCATCCTTTTGTTTGGGACACACGGGACAGCAAAAAGTATACAATCATTGCTTGTATTCATTATTTCACTCTTAAAAACTAAGCAACATGCATTACAGATCATATATACCCGCCCCCGCTTTTATTCTCCTAATCTCATTACATACAGCTACAAAGATTGCCCCTCCTTTTCAGTAATGCTTTACAGAGAACAATGATTCTATCATTCCAAATAATTCAACTTCCAAAGCCAGAAAAAGATTCTATCATTTTTTTTTATACTATAATTATTTAGCTGAAACCCACTTTCCTTATGCTTTCATCTGTCAGCACCCAACAAACCTGATATACAACATATGCTGCAGAAAGGCGACTTGACCCTTTAACTCTTAGGCTTCTGGTATGGCTGTAAGTTGGCCCTGGTGACAAGAAAGTTATTATGTTAGGAAAAGCACTTACCAAGAAACTCATATTAGAAAAAAATAAGGAATGTGATTGTGGTCCAGGGGGTTCTTAGTGTTGTTTTACCTCTGGTACCTGAAATCGCCTGTTCCTCTCGCCAGAAGATTTAACAATCGTTTCCCAGGTTTTATCTGAGTAGGATTTTGTAATGGAGTCCTCAACCTTTGAATCCCCAAGAATGCCAAGGGCAGACTTCGACAGCTGTGTTTTTGACGAGACAGTGGGCAAAGCTCTCTTCAGCCATGACTCTGAAGGAGATTTCGGTAAAGGTGGTGCAAGAGGGTTAAGTGAGTTTCCATAACAAGGTTTCTGTTGACTTGGCCTTGTATTATTTTGGTTTTGCGAATCGTCCTTCCCTCTGTCACCTGCCAGCTTTTGCCTTGTCAAGTTGGTAGACTGCTTCAGTGGTCCTTGAGAATCTCCCTTGCTGACTACTGACCACACTCTATTATTTTTGTTGCCATCTTCATCGAGTGCTGGCATCGTCAACGCAGCAGGAGCAAGAATAAGCTCTTGATCGCGCCGGACGTCCATTTGAACTTCATTGTCGGAAAATGAAAGATAACAAGAGCCAAAAGATCCAAAGTGCTCAAGCTCTTCTTCTTCCTTTTTACTCAAGGGCTTCGATTGCTTAGCCTTTGGAAATGAACCATCCACAGAAACTGTTTCCTTGAATTCCTTGTCACTGGCTGACCCTTTCTTATCCGAGGAAGTAGAGTCTGTATCTTCAATTTGCTTTACTGGCTGTATAGAATCGATATACAGGGTTTTCTCAACAACAGGACTTCCAGAGCCTGATTTCCATTCTATATCATCATTGGCTAATAGTTCGCCGAAACTGATGACTTCCTTAACGGATAGAATAGAACCCATCGTCTCTGAATCCTTATATTTGTTAGGAGTTCCAAGAAAACCTTGTGTTTTAGAGGCCAGAGGTTGAGATGGCTCATGATGTGACCATCCAGCATTACTCTGCGGCTCTTTGCACGGTTGAGCTTCATAAGGTATTCTTCTTACATAAGCAGCAGCCTGATCATACTAGGAAGAACAAGAAAAAAGGTCCCAGCATTAGTGCTCGTTTCAAAGCAACTTGTAACTGGAAAAAAGACGTTGAAAGTCAAGAATGAGGCAGATACACATGAATACCTTATTTCCAATGCTGCTTCTTGTCCTGACCGAAGAAGGGGATATATGAGCCGGCTTTCTAATCCTGGGACCAGGATTTAGTAGACTCAAAGAATTATGGAGGCACAACCGAGGCAATAACCCACAAATTCCAAGCGAAGAAGCATTAGGTTCGCTGTAATCATCATCATCATCATCATCCTCTTTTGGATTATCAACTTGAGCATGGTATGGTAGTACGTTTACCCTTGAACTTTTCAAAGGAGGCTGATCCTCTTCGACACGTTCAATCGTCTTTATCTGTCTAGCTTGCTCTCTTAGAACAGGCTGTTTCTTAGTGGGATACTGTGTAGAATACTGAGGATTCTCAGAAGCCATAGCTTGTGCAGCAGGCAAGAATCTACCCATCATGAACTCCCTAGCCTGCAAATCACTAGAGAGTGTCCTAGTTGGTCTCATATCCAGACCCTCTAGCCCGCTAACTCCGGTTATGCTGCAGTTCAAGTACGAAGATTCTGTCCTTGAGAGGGTATCTAATGCATCTACGAACGTCTCTTCATCATCAATGCTATCACCAACTAGATTGGAGCTCTTCGTCTCCTCCATAACTTTTCCGGATTTCTCTTCTGCCTTTACTGTAGTAGGCGAATTCTGGTCACTGGAAAGGCCACCATTCCTGGAGCAAGAAGCAGCTGGCGACGATGACCCTTCAGAGGCTGCATCTGAGGCAACCTGTTTGACATTCAATGGCCTTCTCCCAGGAGGAAGTCTAGGGAGGAGAGGTGGTAGGGAATCTGAGCTGGTTTCCTTCATTGGCCTCCCAGGGCTTCTCTCCCACACAAAAGGAACCGACCCTGGAACCCCGACTGGCCCTGATTTCAGCTCTGATTTGTAAAAGGGAAGTGGTGGCAGCTTTGGGACATCTGCTGGTTTCCTGCTCCTCCTGCTGCCTGCCTCTTTCGCAACAACAGCGGGTGATGGAACCCTTCTTACTGATAAAAGTGGCAGACCAAAATCCAGTTGGTGCTTCCCTTCCATAAAAGGTTCTCAAGTAGATTGCCCTGCCCCCCGCTTCGATTCTGGATTCAAGCAAACACCACGCGAGAAACAAGAATTGACAACCAATATGAGCAGAATAACTCCAGAAACAATGAAAGATACATCAATAATAAAACCCAATTCTAGTTTTGTCTGTCTTATGTCCTGCCATGGCAGTTGCTGAGTTCCTGGAATGAACACAGTCAAACGAAGGTGACAAGCACAACATGCAGGAACAAATAGGAAAAATGGAAAGGATCTTCCAACTCTAGGTTTCTGATTAAAGCAAAAGAAATATACAGGGGAATTGGTGAGGATACGATCTTCCAACTCTAGTCCTACTGCCTCTTTAATATCAAGGATAGGAATATTGGAAAATGAGAGCAGAAACCAACCCAGTTGAGAGAATTGATCAGCTTTCTCAATCAACTTAATACGACGAATTCAATTCAAGTGAATCAGACAGAGAAAGTTAAGAGAGAGAGAGAGAGAGAGGATCACCTTGTTTCTAGAGAGAGGGATACGATCGAGTTCGTACAAGAATTGAAAGAAACCAACAAGGCAGAGGGAAAAAGAAGGAAGTTGGAATTTGGTAGGAAACGAAAGAAGGAAGGAATAAAGAGGAAAGAGAAAGAACGGGAGAAGAAGATGAAGAAGAGGAATGGGAAGTAGCAGAAGAAGCAGTACGGAGGAAGAAGAGGTGTGTGTCGGGTTGCGGGTTTATCAATGTTTATGCAGCTGTATCAATCTGCTATCCCTTATGGGTTTTGTTTTTATCTACAGCAGGGAAGGAAGACGGGATTTGACTTGCATGAGCTTTCTTCGCTTACCGACTAACAAAACAATACAAAACTGAGGACAGAGAAAAGGTCGTCTGATAAGCCCCGGCCGCTGCTGTTAATTTAATGGGCGGTTGCTGCCTAACTTCCCGTCCCAATCCTGGTCCTTTGGGAGGAATCATGTGACCCGCCATTAATAATCTCTCACTACAACAGCTGTGACTGAGGAAGGAGACGGGTGGAGCGAGGTATTTTTCTCCTAAAGTTCCATTTGGGAACTACCCATATTTGTGGGTTGAATGAATCTGAATCTGGCCAAAGTTGTCAAAACGATAACAAGATTATTAAGCATTATTATTTCATTCCAAAATTTTGCACCAATTTAGAATGAAAAAAATAACAATATCCTTCGAATTCGACCCAATTGGGTAGGATAATAAAGTAAAAACAAAAATAAATAAATATCCGGTAATATGGGTAAAATTGTAATTCTAATATCATTGACAATGGACGAGTTATTGAGAGCAATTTGTTATTGACATAATATCAGAGCCTTTTGTGACCGAAATGTCTTATGTTCGAATCCCGATGACCCCATTGGTTCTGGTAAGCACATGATATTCAGACCTGTGCATAGTTCAAGCCATATATGATGGCTTTCGTTGAGAGGGGGGGGGGGGGGGGGTTTAGTAAGTGCTACAAGATCCATAACTGAACATCTCCCAACAACTCGAGTTATTGGGAACAACTGCTTCTTGGCACATACCATGTAATAAAAGTGCACACATCAATATTAAATGCTATACAAACTAGGATATAAAGTGTACAAATCATACCATAAAAATACTAAAACTCATACAAACCAGATCATGAATATATATACAAACCTATAATACAAACTATTCAAATCAATTTATAAAAATGTACAAATTAATAATATAGAATATATAAACCCTATAATAAAATTATACAAATTAATATGACAAAGTATACAGTTCCGATGATAAAACTATACAAACCAATAATATAAAGTATACAAACTATACCAAAAAGTATACAAATAATATAAAGTATACATACCATAAAATTAAAAATATACAAACCATACTAAAAAATATGTAAACAAATCACATAATAAAAGTATACAAACCATACAGATGATAAAGCTATACAAACCAATAATATAAAGTTTGTTTGGGTAGGTCAATTCCACCTTTAATTATGCTTTGTTAGTAGCTCTCTCTAGGTTGTGAAAGAAGAACTTCAAACTCTCTCTAGTCCCCCCTTAAAATTCTACTCCCTCTCCTCTATATAGCCTGCGAGTGCACGTTTTATGATTTCACGTCAGGTCCTTGAACTGTGCAACAAAATCGTGATTTCAACGCAAAGTGCATCGTGTCATTAACACACTTCGTGGTTTCTTTGCTCACTTGACGGTCTGGGACCATGATCCTTGCAATGCCCTTGAGGCACGAAGAAGCTCTTGGAACTTTGCAATCTTCAAGGCTTCCTTGTAATCTTTACGGTCTTCTGCCCGTGACATTTGCTGTCAAACCGCAATCCTTGCACTTTCCTTCGTTTTTCTCCCTTTTCGATCCCTTTTGTCGGACTTTCGATCAATTCACCATTCTACTTGCCAAAGTCTGAAACATGCCAAAGCAAAACCAAACCTAGCGTAAAATGGTTTCAAGGACGGTGCTAAATAAAATCAAACGACGCAAGGCAATGGGTATAAAAGTGTACAATCTATCCCGAATCAAACTCCCCACACTTGAGCATTTGCTTGTCCCCAAGCAAACCTACTCAAATCAGTACAACTTGCAAGACAATCACAATGGTATGCAGTACCATTCATTGGTGGTGCCTCAAAACAATCGAAGACGAGAAAACATTACTTCCATCTTCATGCCAAAACAAACTCCCCCACACTTGAGCATTTGCTTGTCCCAAGCAAACCTACTTAAATCAGTACAACTTGCAAGACAATCACAATGGTATGCACTATCATTTACTTCCATCTTCATGCCAAAACACACTCTTGGATAATGACCTTGCCAACTAGAGAGGTCTAGACACTTCACGTGTGCACTGGGGGACTCTCAAGAAAACATGTGAAAAGCAAAGAACTCCATGGTGTTGCTTCTACTTTCTTTTTCAAAAGACAACTCAAACTTTCGAGCCTCAACTTAAACATTGTCGCACATGGCACCACACTTGCACTTTTATCTTTGCAATTAAGGCATCTTTCCCTGGCGGCTAAGAGCAAAAGTACATTGACTTCTCTATCTCACCCTCATGTGAGGAAAGTGATGGTTGAGAGGATGGAATAGTATAAAAGGTGAAGTGTTGGACATTAGTCCACTCTCTCAAGCACCGATTCTCGCACTACCGTCTCAAAAATAGACGAGTTTGAGTCCTAAAAAACAATCGAAGATGAGAAAACGTTACTTCTATCTCTTCGTTCCAAAACACACTCTCAGATGAGGACTTATACGAGCATAGAACCGGTCCGGTGTGCGTAGTTATCAAAACAACGTAGCTATGTACAAGAATAAAAGATAATGATAGAGCAGAATTGAAGTGCAATATTACACCACGGAGAAGGCTCTATCAATAGACGGGTAGAATATCGACCACAATCAAGGGGAAAACTCGATTGATATAAAGAATAATTCACAAGAAAAACGCTCAATGAACCAAGATAAAATCAATATTCTTCAAAATCTGTCCTAAAAATCGTGTATACAACCCTTTAAATAGGTTTGGAAAAATAAAACTAATAAAAACCCGAGAAGGAAAAGAATATTAAACCAAAAAGGTAACAAAACTCGTCAACTACTATTCCCTGGGTCTAGTCTTCAAATCCCTGGGCAGGTAAAATATTTATGACTTTGGGTAATAGCCCCTGTTACAATCCCCGGGAGGGAATTTTTATCTTCCATTAGGGGATTTTTCCTAATCACTGTACGATCTTTAGGCTGCTCGTTTGGTGTCCAGGAAACTTCAATCTTCTCACCTGACACCTCTACGATGTTCAACAAGACTTGTACTCTCACCTCCAACTCCTAGCTTCCCTCGAATAGCTCCAAATATGAAAGAGTAAGCGTCCAATGTAGGTACCTTGAAGCTATTTATTCTCTTAGCCAAACTCAACACTTCCTTCTTCCTCAATTTCAACACTACTTGGAATGCTTGGAAATTGACTTCCTTGTGGGTTATCGTGCTCACATCATTCCCTCCCCATTAGGAAAGCTTTGCCCTCCAAGCTTGTAGGCTTCGACATAAGAAATCATCTCAATAATCATAAAAAGATCGAGATAAACCATCTGATCTTTTTGTATCGTGGCCATCTCGTAGAAATATCCATCTTCCTTTTGCGATTCTGGATAGTTGGTTGATGGTTCAATCTCTTCGAGTTTATTTTTCTCCGGACTTCCTAGTGTTGGAAAAACCACTATGTTGTCTTCAAGTAACTTGTTATAATTGGTGGGTTCCTTCGACTCGTCCTCTAGCTCAAAGCCGACTTCCTCAAAACTCGAACTTTGTTATGCCAAAGAATTCGAACTCAAACTCGATCACTGTTCAACCATGGTGTGAAGCATAGATCCCATCTGAACCATCTATGTTGTTTCATGGTGTCTGCAAGGTTTGGCTTCATGGTTTGCATCTTCGTTGTCTTCCTCGCCACTCTGTTGATTTAGAGCTTTGATACCACTTGATACGAGCATAGAACCGGTGCACATAGTTATCAAAGCAACGCAGCTAAGAACATGAATTAAAGATAAGGATAGAGCATAATTGAAGCGCAATCTCACACCTGGGAGAAGACTCTATCAATATAAAGGTCGAATCTCGACCACAATCAAGGGGAAAACGCGATTGATACAGAGAACAATTCACAATCAAAATGTTTAATGAACCAAGATAATATCAATATTATTCAAAATGTGCCCTAAAACTCGTGCTTACAACCCTTTGAATAGGACTTGAAAAATAAAACTAATAAAAATCCCGAGAAGGAAAAGAATTCTAAACCAAAAGGCAAAAAATCTCGTCAACTACTATTCCCCGAGTTGGGTCTTCAAATCCCCAGGTGGGTAAAATGCTTCTGACCCTGGGGAATGGCCTTTGTTAAAATCCCCAAGGTATCTTCACCTAGGGAATTTTCCTGATCACCATACGATCTTCAGGCTGCTCGTTTGGTGTCCATGAAACATCAATCTTCTCACCCGACGCCTCTACTATCTTCAACAAGATTTGTACTCTCACCTCCATCTCCTAGCTTCCCTCGAATAGCTCCCAATATAAACGAGTAAGCGTCCAAAGTAGGTACCTTGAAGCTTTTTATTCTCTTAGCCAAACTCAACACTTCCTTCTTCCTCGATTTCAATACTTCTTTGGAATTCTTGGAAATTGATTTTCTTGAGGGATAACATGCTTACATCATGACCTTTCCAACTAAAGAGGTCTAGACACTTCACGTGTGCACTGGGGGCTCTCAAGAAAACATGTGAAAAGCAAATAACTCAGTGGTGTTGTTTCTACCTTCTTTTTCAAAAGAGGACTCAAACTTTCGAGCCTCAACTTAAACATTGTCGCACATGGCACCACAAGTCCACAATTGCACTTTTATTTTTGCAATCAAGGCATCTTTCCTGGTGGCTAAGAGAAAAAGTACATTGAATTTTCTATCTCACCCTCATGTAGGGAAAGTGATGGTTCAGGATTGAATAGTATAAAAGGTGAAGTGTTGGACGTTAGTCTGCTCTCTCAAGCACTAATTTCTGCTCCATCGTCTCAGTAGACGAGTTGCTACACATGTGGATACAAATGAGAGTCGAGGTCTCTTTAACTTGTGTAGAGGCACACTATCTCCTTATTATACAAGTCCGTGAGGAGGAGACGTGTTTGGGGGATGGAAAGTAGTAAATGATGATGGTTGGCCACTAGAAAGCTATCGGATCCCCAAACACATCCTCAAAAGGCAATCCTGACGAAGAGAAAGGTCCTTTGCCTGCTTAACTCAAACACTATGCTTGGTTGCCTCTCACGTGAGAACACTCATGTTTCAAAACATTTTTTTTTTGCCAATTGGAGCACCTTTTGCAAAATGTTTTGGAGTCCAAAATTGGGTAGAGTCCCACACACATGTCGTAATCTCGATAGCAAACATTATGAACACATCCAAGAGGAAATAGAAGTAAAGTTGCACATGATAAAAACATCTTTATAGCGCCACACTAATCTATATAATGCACACCATCCCAATCATCAGATAATTCAAAGTACACTAAGCAAGAACATACTTGGGATAATGTGTTCGGAACCCCTAAAATTTTCAATGGAAACTAGGTTCCAAAAGACATCTCAATACCAACCATCAACCAATCATGCACAAGTGATCAAAGCCCCCAAATTGTAGAAATTTAGCAATGACAAGGCTCCAAACCATTCTTAGAGGGCATTCTTACTCATTATTCACACACGAATGACAAATACGTACACACAACCACACTTAAGTACGACATTGTCCACAATGGAGCAAGAATAAGGGTGGAACGAGGTTAGCGAATCATTGGTGACGGAAAGTCGGACTAGAGATGGACCAGTTTCGAGGGATAGCGCTTCACGCGGAACAAACACACAAACAAATAAACACATGCTCGCACATGGCGTGGTTATTACACAATGACAATAGTCAAACATCACAAGAAAATAAAAACACAATGGTACTAGTTCAACACAAATAAACAACAAAATAAGAGTTTAGAGTCAAAGTGGAGAAAAATGAGATGGTAGTACTACGGTGCCAACATGGCATTCAAGACTGGTGGTGACTATTCCGGGCAAGGAGGGGACAAATGCCAATCAGGTTCAACGAAAGGGACACCCTGAGCTCGGAGTAGCTCCTCCTCCACATTGTGTGAATGACGTCGGGCATCATGCTCTCGAGCAATCTGAGATGAAACTCCGACGAATTGGCCCTCAAGAGCAGGGACTCAAGCCTCAAGGTTGACCGAGGAGGAAGGACTGACTCTAGATGATGTTGAGGCAACCGGTATGGCCACATCGGAGCGGTGGTGGATCTCTCTAGGATGACTCTGGTGGTTGGAAGAGACCCTCAATGTATCGGAAGGGTGCAAAAATGCAAAGTAAGTGCATGGAACTTTATGTCTCTTCCGGGAAGTTTGTAGTGCGCCCTACCTTGGTACAAATATTGAGGTCGATGTGGAGATATCGAGGCAAAATTTTGATGTAATCCTCCAAATTAATGGCACGATTACGGAAATTGCTCGTTGCCTTAGAAAATGAAGTTTCCAAAATTGACCCAAGGTGTAATTGGTCAATGAGGTGGTGCCAAAGGCTAGTATAGCTCTTTTGGTGACCTTGTTGGATGACCCATCACTTAGGAAAATGGATCGGGCAAGTAGTGCATAGATGACGCGCCACTAAGGTTGAAGCATATTCGCCATGGTGTGTATAGGGTCATATCTAACCTGTTGGTGCTGAGGTAGGCAGACCTTGTCAAACACGAACTGAGAATTGAGGTCATTAATAAATCAACCTCATGGTCGCACATATTCTCAGTATCCAGCCCCATGTCCTATGCGAGATGTGTGCAACTCATCTTTCGGACTTGTCCCCCCAACGTGAACATAACATAGGGCTTGTGGTGGCCATAAGGTCCCTTTGCTTGATAGTGGATGAAGGTACAGTAGAACTCAATGCAGAGCTCCAAGTAAATGTCATCGTGAAGCTCGAATAGGTGGCGCCACTAAGGATGGGCCACTGCTGCCCCCATACCAGCCCTACAATTCGAGCCTCAAACTGAAGGAGATCAACTCACTAATGAGGGCCAACAGGGGCCCGTTGTCAAGCTGAAAGCTACTCCTACATTGGGATAGAGTCACTACCTTCTGGAGGTATGGGTAGTTTGGATCTACCATCATGCAAAAATACAAAAGCAACGAGCACTATACGTGGAAATATTTGTTAGAAAAAGCACATTGGGGAAAAAATGAACTCCCCTAAAATTAATTTCCAATATAGGTAACATGCCTACATAGGCATTTCACAACGTCAGATGATCAACATAGAAGCACAATCATCCCAAAAACACACATGATGCATAAAACTAGGTGTTCAATATATAAAAAAAAAGGTTTCAAATGGAATCCTAGATCATGGCTCAGTGACCAACAAACACTAGTTCAAAACGCACATGTAGAAACAAGTAAGATTGAAGCGGAAGACGAGGAAGTCAAAATCCGGCCGAATGACTGACCAGAAGAGGGCGTCGGAGCTTTGCCTAACTCTCTTTGGAGTCTCAATGTAGAGGTTTTCCGACATCAAAATTAAGCCAAAACTCCCCAAAAGCTCGTCGAAGGTGCCCCTAGGGGTGGGGAGGTTGCATATGTGTTTGATTTTTGGATAGGGCAGTCAGAAGTAGATCAAAACAACAAAAAACTGTCGGAGAAGATGATATCTGACGAGTTGTTCCGGTTTTCCTGTTAGGGTGGAGTTCATGTTTGAGCAAACATCACGCCCCTTTTATACTGTCCGAAGACGAGCATCACAGTTTTATTGTTGATATCATGGTCTCAGACTATGATCCTAACACGCAGAACATGAACTCAACCGAACACAGTTAGTTTTAGTATACTATCATGGTATTTTTAATTATTACATGATATGCTCGTGAACAATACACGCAAACCGTGATTCTTACAAAAGAACAAAAATCCTAGCTAACATCACTTCCATTACTGCCTGGTGGTATTTTTCAATCTCTGGGGTCATGTAAAAAACACCACAACCGTGATGTGTCCAAAAACGGAGGATTTGATCCATTTTCAACCTCAATCAACTCAATCGTGTCCCAAACTCAAACATCGATCAAAACACATCAACCATGGCACGGTGATCATTCAAAACTGACACTTGGCTATAGCACACAAACAAAAAGATAAAAATAAGGAAAATAAATACAAACCAACTTTGGGTTAAGTGCTACTTTTACGTCACAAGTTAGAAGGTTGCTCGTTAAATTTCAGTGCATCCTAGCACCTCCAAGTTAAGGTTCTCTTCATCGAGGTGGAGCCTCAAGTTGTGAGCATATGAAATGATATTTGAGGATGACTCATGTAATTGAGCAAGATGAAACCTTCACCATTGAGACCTCTTGTTCTCTTCGTTTCTTTTTTCTTCACCCCAAAACGGATAAGGCATCATCAACTCTCCACCACCGCATCCATTAAAGGAGAATGATGACAGTGTGGCTTTGGTCAGCTATAAAGTGATCACAAAAGGATCCTTTCCAAGCAATTCCTCTAAGTTTGGTGGAGGTTTCACAATAAGCTCGTGGCTGATGCAAGCCTCTTACACCATAACTTCATCTTTAGCATGAAAACTGATTGTTTTATATACCACCCTCCCTTCTTCATATGTTGGTTCCTACTCTTGTGGAGTATTAAGGAATTCATGTTCAACTATTTCTACCTCATCCATAACTTCTTTTCTTACCTTTCCTCGCTCTTCCGCAAGCATGCGTTGGATAGCAAGTTTCCAAGCGATGGCTTTGGTAGGCTCATCTTGCATCTCCTCACTAATAACCGGTTAAGGGTGGTGGCTACCTCAATATTACATTCCAGTTTGTGAGAATCATGGTGATCTTTGAATCGCTCTAACTATCATAATAAAATCCCACCTAAGGTCCAAGTATAAATCTTAGATGGGTGCAATATAGGGCAAGTATGTTTAAATATCGATTCGGGCCTGTCCATGTACCGCTACTTCAACTGTTTGAAACATTATCTAGCGGATCAGTTTTGGTGAAAACAAAGGTCTAAAATTAAATTACTTTGCAAAGGTAAAATGGATTTCACTCTAGTTCAGAAACCTACACCCGGGTGTTGCTGCCCCTAGCTAACAATTACGACTTGATGACTCGAACGAATTTGTGTGGTTAGGGGGTCATAAACCGAAGGAAATTCTAACAAGCAGCTAAAGCTACCCTCTTAGAATCTAAGTTGAGGAATGAGATACGATACAAGCCACTAATGTGACCCTCTCAACTTATCGACTAAGGAATGTCTAGACTTCGCCCATGAATTGGAGTTTGGACAGCCACCCACAACCAAACCCTAAGTGCTTAATACGAATTAAGAGATTTTCCCTTTAACTAACCTAGAATAGGAGGCATAGAACGCCCAAGGAAACCCATCTCTACCATCCCTGGTAGAGCCTTTTAAGTTAAGGAGGGTTCTCTCTAAACTAGCTTAGGTGGCATTGAATGCCCAAGGAAACCCAACTCAAATGGAGCCTCTTTGGATGAAGGATGTTTCCTCTCCAAACTATCCTAGGAGGAATGAAATGCCCAAGAATACCCATCTCCAATGGAACCTCTTAACCTAAGGAGGTCTCCTCTCTAAGCTAGGTTAGAATGACAATTAGATTGATAGGCTTTCACACAACACAATAATTTCTGAATAATACCTCCACATTCACATTAAAACGCAACCACACACAAATCATTCAATTCATACAAGTATTTACATAATTGAAGCTAGGGTTTACAAACACCCAAGTGAATTAAGGGACTACTCCACTCTAGGAGAAGGGAAAACACAAAAGAGGGAATTGTCAACCATCACGAAGATACAAGCCTTGCTCCTTGTGCTGAAGAAACCCCAAATACTTGTTTGGAGATCAAACCCTAGCTTTTCATCTTCTTTGATTTGTCACTTTCTCAAACTAAAATCCAAAGAAGGAGAAGTTTTTCTCACACCAGGTCTCTCCTCCTTCCCTTCTTCCTTTCAGCTCTTTAATCTTGAGATCGTGCTCAGTTCATGGTCCGAGTTCACGATCGTGAACATTGAAACCGTCTGTGAACTCAGTGCTGAGACCAAAACACACCGCTCTGATGGCTCTGTTCATGGTCTGTGGCCTATGTTCACAGTCTTAGAGACCGTGAACAGACTGGCTGTCAGTAACCTGAAAACCCTCTCTGTTCGCTCCTCTCTTCACGGGTTCTGACTCCAGTTCACGGTCCTGTAAGACTATGAACTCCAATATCAGGCCGTGAACAGTGGCTATCTCCTCCTCTTTGATCGATTTTCGCTCCTTTGCTTCCAACTCTCGACTCCGGAGATGGCTTCACCTGTTAGGATCTGAAATACACTGAAAAGCAAGAAGCCTCGCATAAAGCCACCCCTTTTGGAGTTCAATTGCAACAATCGTCCAAGATAATTGGGGGTAAAAGATGTACAATTAGGCCCGAATCACTCCCCCACACTTAGACGTTTGCTTGTCTCCAAGCAAACCATTTCACACAAGGTAATCTCTCAACCTATAAAAATGCTTTAGGTACAAATCAAAGGGCACAAAGTGACGAATCTCAATGGCTATTGGCAATTAACACATGGACTGTTGTAAGCAATACCGACATCCACCACAAACGACATTCGTAGTCGCCAAAAATGGGCAAACGAAAAGTTCTCGCCTTGTTCATGAATTAATGCAAGTCTCAACACGATCACTTATCAACCACAACATACCATGCTTAATATTCAAGTCCAAGGAACGAACAAATGTGCAACAAAGGTCCTCACTAGGGTATGATATGACATGCAAAGCAAGAATGAATCACTCACTCTCTTGACCAGTGGGGTCGGGACCTTTTTGGTGCAAAGAATGTGCACAATCATCAACACTCGGCCCTATTGTATCTTCACCCTAAATGCAAAGGTTCTATGGTTTTGACTAAGAACCTTCCCTACAAACAATGGCCATTACCATTGTCCAAAAACCTTGCTTCTCCCTTCCAAACTATCACCCATCATTAACTACCCTTTAAGCGCTCTTCCTCGGTCCACTCTTGCTATCTCATTTCGACTTGGTAGTGAAGGAGTTCTAGAACAATGTGTGGGTTTCAATGGCTTGAATGCCAAGAAATCTCGCTCAGAGCATACTCTTAGTTCTTTTGTGGCACTCTCTACTTTATTGACCCCGTTTTATTACCTCTTTTTTTGTTCCCTTTTTCTTTCTACTTTCCTTTTTTTTTTCCTTTTTGAGGGGGGTACTAGAGAGTTAAGCACTTGCACACTAATTTTAACGACCGATGCTCTCCTTTAAGAACTCACTCCATTACTACTCTTTTCTCTTTCATTCATAGCAAGAACCGCACACAATCCTCCTATGTAGAACCTCAATGGAACTCAAAAGCGAGAGCTATGGGACACAAGGACGACAGACATATAGACTCGAAGAAATGATGGGGGTTACTCTATCAAGCACCATTAAGCTCACAAGCACAAAACTCCTAACATGAGAACCACCTCCAAAGTCACAAGGCTCAAAGTGGTTGACTAGGGGATAAAACATTTTGGGACAATCAAAATTTGGGCGTGGACTAATACTATGCCTCCTTCATACTCACTAGTGACAACTGTGATGTTACTCGCCATGGTAAGAGGGATCTAAGCACACAAGAATAAAACGATCGGCTCAAAAATCACATGCCTACCTAGCCACCCAATCATCCATTCCACTTTCACGAAACACAATGCATGGCAATTGTAATCAACAAGTAATCGAGTCAGGACATCCATTCATTTTTGCACACATGGAACTAAACTTTTGCACTATCATAATGCACCTCTCAGTCATCATCATAGGACACACTCAATCACATGCAACAATTCAAGGTTAATGCCAACAAACATCAGATACTCTTATAAACCGGCCACTTTGATCATGCAAACATTGCTTGGAGCCCTAAAAATTTTCAAATTTGGGCATACATCAAGGCTCCAAGCATCAATCACACTCACACAAGCATAAGAATCAACTCCCCCCCCTCCCCCCCCCACACACACATAAGTTCGACATTGCCCTCAATGGCGTAAGAAAGGGGTATAATACCGCTTTACTTGGTGCGTGAAAGTTGGAATTTTTCCCGGGTAGGAGAGTTAAGCTTCAAGAAGAAGACAAAAACACACATACACAAACACAATATGACTCGCTCGAAGCAAGGTTATTACACATCACAATACGATAGTAGTAGTTTATGATCACACACATAGAATAAAAGAAAGAAAAATGAAACAAAAGAGTTCAGAGTTACAAGTGGAGTAGTGGGACTTAAGGAATCGGCTCTGCCACTTATCTCCCTCATCGGATACCTCTCTCGGGTCGAAGGCCCGTCATCCTCATATGGGAGGAGGCCTTGGCGACGAGCGATCCGCTCGAGCAGGTCGGTCTGCCAGTCAAGTCGAGAGGTCACTTCCATGACGTGGGTCTCGAGACGGTCCATCCTGTCCACGAGGGGTACCCCAAAAGTGGAAGGACCGACACCAGATGGTGCTGCTACTAGACGCTGGAGCGCGGGAAGCCGTCGACGGCCGGGAGCTCGAGCAGGTGGCTTCTTTGGAGGTGGGATTTCAGCATCGGGCGCCACTGGAGCTGGGTCAACTGCTGGATGCATGAGTCCTGAGGGTCGGATCCCCCCTAGTTACTTAACCCCTCTCTCCCCGAAGCACTCGTTTCATGTTGTAGAGAGTCGCCACTAGGAAGGGCTCAGTTCGCCCGACGATGGAGCATTGCTCCAAATCAACTCCAAATTGGCGGGCTATCCTCGTGATGATGCCCCCCCCATATGCATGGTGTCCACCCTGTTCCTTCCCAGGCACCGGGCGAAAGAGGTGGCTATCAGTGATCCCAGATGGATCGGCTATGCTGGATCCTCTTGGAGAAGAGAGCAAGTAGCCCTCTGTTCGTGATAAGGTGGACAGCCTACAGGCTGGCTGGGGACGACAGAGCGGGTGAGGAATGTATGCAGGATCCTCCAAGGAGTCGTCAGCTTCACCGCATTGGTGACGCTCGCCTCGTACTCCTCGTGCTCATGCTCCGGACGAATGAAGGCCGTGAATGCAGCCTGGTAGTGGAAGTCGACGGTGTAGTGCCGCTCCGTCATCGTCCTGTACATTGTGTCGAGCCCCATGGCCTGGGCAAAGGCATCATAGGCCAGAACTCGCGGCTGACCTCCTAGCATAAAATCCACGTACGGCCGACCCTTCTTGCTGGTCGGGATGACGTGGGTGAAGGTGGAGTAGAACTCCACGCAGAGCTCGTGGTAGATGAACTCGTCCATAGAAAGCAGTTGGCGCCACTGGGGGTGAGAGGCGACCCCTGACATTGCGGCTCGGCACCTGAACAAGTTAAACATGTTAAGGTCCAGCCGCCAATGTGGCCCGATTGGGCTGTCCCGCTGGTAAGCAAACTTGGTCTCGAACCGTGGGTGGGTCACCAAGTAGCCACCTACTCATGCTCCATGTTAAGCATCCTGCAAAAAATGACAAACATGCACCATACATGGAAATAATTGTCAATTACAGCTCATTGGGAGGAAATAGGAAATCCCCCCCCCCCCCACACACACACTTATATTTCCACTACAGATCAATGCTATTCAAACGTTTAAGCTCAAACACACCGTTGCATGGTTCTAGGTATTCACGTAGTATCCACACAAAAATCAAAACCCGTAACACGCCACGATGGTTACCAACCACCACTCTAACATAAAATTTTCTCATTCAATTAAAAATTAGCACTTGGTGAGCAAAATTCACAAATAAAAGCATTTCGAATCAAAACGTGCCCACCAAGGCTCAACTAAGCTCAAGCAACATCATTCAACCATTCAATTCATAATTCACCTAATATCTCGCCCTAATTCTAAGTTCAACCTTCAATTCACTAAAATTCTCCTCACTTAACTACCTAATACGATTCTCTCACAAGTAATAAGATAGAGCCGAAAACCAATGGGAAGACTCAAGTAGGATGTAGGAGGAAGTGAGGTGAGGGCGAGGAAGGTGAAAATTTTCAAAAAATTAGACCGGAGAAGGGTCGTTGGAGCTTTTTCAGAAGCTCGCCGGACTCTGGTGGGAGGTTCACCGATTGCGACTTCACCGAAAAAATGGCCCAAAGCCTCCCAAAATCTCAGCGAAGGTCGCTTGGGATGAGGGAAGATTGGGTCTCCTTTTGGTTTTGGGATTGGATCACCAGAAATGAGGGAAACGGTCAAAAATCGTCGGAATTTAGCGGTTTTTTGGCAAGATTTGAAAATTCTTGCGATTTTTTGGGTCGTGAAGTGAAAAACGTCGTTCACGATCTTTTTATTGGCAGACCTTGTAGTTCACGGACGGGTTTGCCAGTTCACTGTCGTTAAGACCATGAAAACTGCAATCTGTTCGTGAACACAGGTCGACCAATGGGTTTGACACACGTGGAAGCGCCCTAGTTCACAGACGCGTTTGCCTTTTCACGATCTTGTAAGACCGTGAACAGGGCAACCCATTCGTGAACATCAGTGAAAACATGACACTTCTGAAAAAAAAATACTCTACCTATTCCACCGTGCCTACTATCAATCACGACACACTCGAAACACCCATTCACAAAAACTTGGTACGGGGATACCGCTCAACCACTTGAATTCTTCACTCGACATACAAAAACGAAAATAAGGAAAAGAAAACAAACCTACGTTGGGTTGCCTCCCAACAAGCGCTAAGTTAACGTCACTAGCTTGACGTTGCGGATCTATCAAGCCTTTGAACGTGATGCCAACAAGAGTGGATCCGCCACGATCTCGGAGAGAGGCATGTCGCCTCCCAACTTACTCTCCATGGGGTGACCTTCTTGGCCGATGACTTTTGCTTTGCCCTTTTCCTTCCACTAGGCATTAGCAGGACTTAACCTTTCCTTCCAAGCTACTTTCCTTCATTCTTTGGGCGAGATGCCCTCCTTGCTTTTCTGTTTCACACCATCACAAGAACCGATAGTAATAGTCGGGTTCGCCTTGCAATGCTCTCATCCACTTGCATTCATATCACCCGGTTCCACTTCCTTCACTTTCACCATCTCTCAGAATCAAAGTTCCCTCATTTACTTCAATTAATGTCTTGCCGGTGTCAAGGAAAGGGCGTCCTAGTATGAGTGGCATCTCAAAATCCTCACTTATATCGAGGATCACAAAACTCGCCGGATAACAGAATTTCCCCACTCGTACCAGCACGTCCTCCACTATGCCCTTTGGACTAATGACAGAGCGATCAGCCAATGTGACACGAAGACTTGTAGTTTTTAGTCCACCTATGTCTAGCCTCTTAAAAAGCTGATATGGCATCACATTTATGCTCGCCCCTAAGTCCTCCAAGGAACTTTCTATGTGACGAGAACTGATGTAAAGAGGTATAGTGAAACTACCTGGATCGGGTTGCTTCTTGGGCAACCCTTGAGGATGAAGGCTGAGCACTCCTCACCTAAAGTGAAATTGGAGAGGTCTTCGAACTTTGGCTTCTTGGAAAGAATCCCCTTGAGGTACTTTGAATACCTTGGCATGTGGGTCATTGCTTCAAGAAAGGGAATGTTAGGGTTGATCTCTCGGAGCATCCTCATGAAGCTTCCACATTTCGCTTCCAATCTTTCCTTGTGCACCCTCATGGGAAAAGGTAAGGGTGGCATGTACTCAGCCACAGGTGGTGGCGTCGGCAATTCCTTCCTTACCACTCCTCTCTTTTCTTCCAAGGTTTCCTCTTCTTCACCCCCGGGTAGTGGGTCTTCCTTCTCATTCACTTCTTTGGCAACAACCTCCGGGGTCACCTTCTCGCTCCTCAAGAAAATTGAATTGCACCCAGCTTGATCCTTGGGGTTGGCAGTGGTTTGAGAGTGTAGGGATCCCTTCGGTCTCTCGGTGAGGATCCCGGCAAGGTTGCAAATTTGCACTTCCAAGTTTTGGAGACTTGTTTGATGGCTTCGAAGTCCTGTCTCAATCGAGGTAAACTTGGACGTTGCCACATCCATGAATTGTCAATCTTCTCGAACTTCTGAGAGCTTTTACTCACAAAGGTGGTCACAAGATCTTCAAGTTTAGAGAACTTGTCGACTTGTTGTTGTTGTTGTTGAAAACCTTGTGCTTGGTATGGTGGTTGGAAGTTTGAGTTTGTGAATTGAGGCCTTTGTTAGATGAACGTTGGCCGAGGTTGATAGTTGCCCGTTGGACCTTGGAAACTGAGGGGTCTTGAATTGATAGGGTAAGACCAAGCGAAGTTTGGATGATTGTGCCACCCGAGGTTGTATGTGTTGCTATAAGGGTTGTTCCCTCTAGCATTGGCAATGAATCTCACTTGCTCCTCAAGGGTACTTTTCTCCTTCATTGCTTGGCAATCCACAATTTCGTGATTGGTTCTCGAACACGAATCACAAAACATAACCGCTCTCTTCACTTGCTTATTGTCCTCAACGATCACCTCAATTAACTTGTCAAGCTTCGCTTCAAGTGGAGCACTTGATCCCACACTTCTTACTCCTCTTTTGGTGGTTCTCTTACCACTTCTTGTCAAGCCCCAATCATATCCCTTGAGGGCCATATCTTCAAGCAATTCGGTGACTTGAGGAGGGGTCATGTTCATCAACTTCCTTTGGCAAAGAGAGTCGATAAGAATTTTGTCATCTTGAATGAGTCCTCCATAGAAAGTTTCTATCCGAAATTTTTCTTCGAACCCATGGTGAGGGCATTGGAGGAAGTAGTCCGAGAACCTTTCCGGGAACCTTTCCATGCATCCCTCAATGTCTCATCCCCCTCTTGCTCAAAGTGAGTAATTTTCTTCCTCTACTCAGCCTTCTTAGAAGGAGGACAATATTGGGTCATGAACTTGTTGAGTAAATAGTCCCAAGAGGTGATGGATAGAGCCGGTCGGTTGTTGAGCCATCAGAGTGCCTTCCCCGCCAAAGAATAGGGGAAAAGCCTCAATCTCTATGCCTCCTTGGGGACGCCAATAATCTTCAAGCTTCCCGCTAGCTCAAGAAACCTCTAGACATGCTCTCGTGGTGACTCATGAGCAAAACCGTGGAAGTAGGCATTTTGTTGAATCATCATCACGAGAGAGGGCTTGATTTCAAAGTTGTTGGTGGCCACAGGTGGATGTAAAATGGGAGATTGGATATCCGCCACCCGTGGAACCATGTAATAGCCCATCGTCCTTGGCTCTTCCTCGGCTCCCACCTCCACATTTGGGTTTGGGAGTGGATTAGCCCCCCGGTATTGATTCCCTGCCATCTCAATTTCAACTTCTTATTCAATTCCTTCAAATTCGGGACCAACTTCTTGTTCCCTTCCTTCACTTCTCCTTCTTGCCACCGCTTGCTCCTTCTCACGAGCTAGAAGTCGGAGAGCCCGGTTGATGTCCTTGTCCAGTGGTGTCAAAGGAGCCGGATTGCTCCAGCTCATGCACCTCCCTACACATACTTAAAGAACACATCTTGTTTGGCACAAGCAAACACTTCACAACTTAACAAAACAAAAATTAATAGCTAGATTAACACCAAACAAACTTTTCACGATAACGGACCACTATTCCCCGACATCGGCGCCAAAAACTTGACTCGCTCTAACTATCACAATAAAATCCCACCTAAGGTCCAAGTATAAACCTTAGATGGGTGCAATATAGGGCAAGTATGTTTAAATATCAACTCGGGCCGGACCATGTACCGCTACTTCGACTGTTTGAAATATTATCTAGCGGATCCGTTTTGATGAAAACAAAGGTATAAAACTAAATTACTTTGCGAATGTAAAATGGATTTCACTCTAGTTGAGAAAGCTTCACCTGGGTGTTGCTCCCCTTCGCTAAAAATTACGATTTGATGACTCGAACGACCCTGTGTGGTTAGGGGGTCATAAACCGCAGGGAAGTCTAACTAGCAGCTAAAGCTACCCTCTTAGACTCTAGGTTGAGGTATGGGATACGATCCAAGCCACTAATGTGACCCTCTCAACCTATCAACTAAGGAATTGTTAGACTTCACCCCCGAATTGGAGTTCGGACGGCCACCCACAACCAAACACTAAGTGCTTAATACAAATTAGGAGGTTTGACATAAAACTAACCTAGAATAGGAAACCCATCTCTACCATCCCTAGTAGAGCCTCATAAGTTAAGCAGGGTTCTCTCTAAACTAGCTTAGGAGGCATTGAATGCCCAAGGAAACCCAACTCAAATTGAGCCTCTTTGGATGAAGGAGGTTTCCTCTCCAAACTAGCCTAGGAGGCATGAAATGCCCAAGAACACCCATCTCCAATGGAGCCTCTTAACCTAAGGTAGCCTCCTCTCTAAGTTAGGTTAGAATGACAATTAGATTGATAGGCTTTCACACAACACAATCATTTCTGAATAATACCTCCACATTCACATTAAAACACATTAAATAATTGAAGCTAGGGTTTACAAACACCCAAGTGAAAGAAGGGACTACTCCATGCTAGGAGAAAGAAAACACAAAAGAGGGAAAGGGAAACCATCAGGAAGATGCAAGCCTTGCTCCTTGTGCTGAAGAAACCACAAATTCTTGCTTGGAGATCAAACCCTAGTTTTTCCTCTTCTTTGGTTCGTCACTTTCTCACTCTAAAATCTGAAGAAGGAGAAGTTTTTCTCACACTATGTATCTCCTTCTTTACATCTTCCTTTCAGCTCTTTAAGCTTGAGATTGTTCCCAGTTCACGGCCTGAGTTCACGGCTGTGAACATTGAAACGCGTCCGTGAACTCAGTGCTGAGACCAAAACGCACCGCTTTAATGGCTCGGGTTCACGGTTTGTGGCCTATGTTCACGGTCTTAGCGACTATGATCTCTCATTATCCGAGACAAACTTCTCCGAGACAAACTTCTCCACCAATAGTTCCAATTGGCTGCTCGTTTCATGTTGTGGAGGGTAGTCTTCATAAAATGGTTGGAACTCTTGAACATCCGGGGGGATACAGTTGTTTGACATCGGAAGGTGGGTTGTATTCGAACTCGAATCCATAGATTTCTCCTTCTTGATTACTCCAGGATGTCCCGGGGTAACACAACTCGGGTTTTGGTTGGTACCCCACATATAGGACAAGCTACTAGGATCCATGATTCATATCTGCATCACAAAAATATGGAACACAAAATATAACAAAACAAAAGTTCTAAAATGCTAGATTAACGGTATTTTTCTTTTTTTGAATAATAGATCGTGCTCCCCGGCAACATCGCCATAAACTTGGATCGCTACTAACTACTCAATCCCAATCATAGGGCAAGTATAACTTATAACCAAGTGTTGTATAGAGCAAGTATATTTCAATTAGCAAACTTCGACGGTCTATATATCCTTACTTCAACAATCTACAAATTATCTAACAATAGAAACATTGTTTAAATCTATTTAACTAAACAAGCAAATAATTAAAACAATGTTTAATTCAAGTGAGAAAACTTCACACAGAGGATTATCCCTCTAGTCCTGTGTTGAAATAACAATTTGATAAACTAGTACGATAGACAAGTTCCATATACCATTAGGAGATAAAAAAAATAGCTAGAACCCCCTATTCAAGTGCATTCTAACCAATCTAGTCGGTCTAATCAGAGGGTCATACCACACTATTGCAAAAGATGACTAAGGCAACAATTCCACTCCCTTGGAGATTAACCCAGAACGACATTGAGTCACCACTCACAATGTTCTTGGCACTTTATGTTGATTGAATAGTGACCTAAAATGACCAAGGGGATCTTCTCTCTCCTAAGTGAATTTCCCAAAAAATTGTGGAATTTGATCAAGAACACTCAAATGATAATCCCCTGATTGGGTTGATTTGATCAGAGAAGCACA